TAAAGGAACCCTATGATTGGAAAGATGCAGGCCCCTACATTGCAGCAGGAGGCTCTGCCTGGCCACCCTGAACGCCCAAAGCGTGAAGCTTCCAAATCTCCCGCGAGAGTCTCAGAAAAAGGCCTTTTCGGCGGAAGGCCGGGCAGGAGGGAGCTTCTTTTAGGGTATAGTGTATATAGGGCTTAGGAGGGAGCTTTTTTAAAAGTATAGGGCATAAATGGCCTTAAGTGTTGAGGAGTTTAGGTGCATGGGCTTAGGGGAGCGTGATCTGGAGGGCTATCCTTCTGAATTGCAATGAGGTTCTTTGCTTTTGGTGGGTTCTTGTTTGGGTTTTCTATATTCTCAAACTCCCTTGTGGTTGATACCCCCCTGGGAAATTGCAAATTCCAAATACCAAACCCTGGGTCCCCAGACCTCGGCCATCAGAGTCCGATAGAGCCCTAGGAACTGCCAACAAATCTGACCATCTCGAACTCTGCTTGAGCAGTTTCCCGGCGCTTTGCCTTTGATCCCAAGCTCGAAGTCCCTCAATCCTCCGTGTGCAAGTACCGATGTATCAGTAGCCCTTCAAGTCAGTTTGCAGGTTACTCTGCCGGAACCCATTGCAGGACCAAGTGGGCCCCAAGTGCATCCTCATGCCCCAGCCTCTAGGCCCAAAGCCTTAAATCCCAACTAGGAAGCCGTCCTGAACAAAGAGCTTTCAACCCTGATCCCGTCTGCAAGCATGTGGGAGCTTCCGATAATAAGGATCCTACTATTTAGGGTCCTATATCAGGGTCCCCTATTTTCGGAAACCCCCATATACTGTACTGCATACAATCGGACCCCTACACTGTAGAACCCTTTTGCGCCCTTGCAGAACCTTTCTCGATGTATAGGCACGGTTTAGGGTTTAGGGTTTAGTGTTTAGGGTTTAGGGTTTAGGGTTTAGGGTTTAGGGTTAGACTTTTGAACCCGTATAGGGCATATACAGAGCCCTTTCAGATAAAGAGCCTTTCAAGAGCGCTCGCCTGCCGACCTTTCGTGGTTCCACGGTGAAGCTAATGGCTTCGGGATGCCTCCGCATGCAAGTGGCCCTCGACATTTGTGGAAGACAGGTTTGTGGGTCGAGGCTTCAGCCCGTTCTTCTTATTGCTGTTGTTGTTCTAAAAATTGTTGCCTGAGTCATCATCTCTTCCTGTGGCAAGCTGATCCCGCTGCGATAGGAGTCCTCGTGTTCCATGTTCGAATTGCGAGAGAACTCCCAGATCTATGTTTCTTGTGCTGTTACTGGTAGGATTCGCTTGTGGCTGATCCTGGCGTTTTGCTGGTATGGAAGGGGTATAAGTCTGTTGTCGTACAACAGAGTTTGACCTTTTACATGTTGGGTCAGGAGTGGACTGTTGTCCTGGCCACTTGCTGACACCGGCAAGTGATCGAGCCTCTTGATGTACACTATCCTCGTCTGTCGGTTGTGCAGAGGATGACCCGAGTGCAGACGACAAAAAGATTTTTCGGCAATGTTCGTATCAGTAAACCATAGTAAAGCTTCTTAGTCACTCCAAGGGCCCTGTGCTTATTCCTGCTCTACTCCTGAGGTGTTGATAGCTGGTGTCAAATCTCGCGATTGGTAGATATGAGGAATGTCCCTTTTCCAATCGCAGCTGTTGATTCAGAACCTGAAAGGGCGCTAAGCCCAAAACCCCCAACCCATATATCGTAAATGCTGCTGTGTGCGACTTGTGGGTGGCAAAAGCTGGAAGTGCATTTCTATCGCAGCACCCCTAGACCGCTGAGCCTTCGGCTATAGTCCCAAAGACCTTAAAGCTTCGAAAAAATGTCAACTCACCGTGGGTTCGACTCGTCCATTTCCGAAGTCATAAACCCCAGAGAATATTCAATATACCAGCTCGAAGCCACTAGTTGAACTCACATTCCTCGCGTCTCGCAAGGTCTCCCAGAGCCTCGCCTCGCTGCCATGTTCCCTACTCTTCATAGTCAAAGCTGCTTATAAGGATACCGCTAGGCTCAGTTCCTCTATAGCCCTTCTGCAGGATCCCCTGCAAAATAGAGAGACCTTCAGCAATTTTCAAAATACCTAGTATACCTTCTGGAATCCTGCATGAAAGGAATCCCTGCAGAAAGCGCAACAAATAGGAACCAGGAAGCCATCCGCCCCTCGCAGGTCCTGCTGAAAGACTTCCGGAAGCAGCGCGAGTCCTTGCCCGAGGGCGTGCGCCGAGACACGCTTGGAGCAGGTCTCCAGGTCCCAGGCTTTCGGGCAGAGTTGTATAAGTTTACCCTAACCCCCCAGGTACCTACTATATAGGGTACGAGAGCCCCTAGGGACCATATGTAGTTGTTCAAGTTTATTGGGCCCTCGTTGGATTCAATTTTACATTTTTGTTTTAATAATAAAACCCAATAAGGATTAAACATGATCATGTTTAATATAGCCCAAACGGGGAACCAGTTTAGAGGGTTTCAAGTTTTAAGGTTTTGGGGGTTTGGGTTGGTGGTGGGGTTTGGGTTGAAAGGTTTTGGGTTTGGGGTTTCAGGTTGTAGGTGGTCTCTGAGAGCCAACCACCCCCCTGTAACTGGTGGAAGCTACCGTAAGCCGTAAGTCGTATGCAATAGCAACTGCATCCCAGCCTGAGCTTCCCACAACTCTACTTGTAACCATTCCCATGACCCGTGAAGTTGGTCTTAGCAGACCTGCTGAGGTTGAGGGCTCAGGGTGGCAGTTTCGGGCGTTGCCTTTCGGGTCGATGGCTTCAGGTGAGGCTCGGGCTAGGTCTGTGTTTGTAGGGGTCGACAGAGATCGCACTGTCTCCTGAAAGGAGGTATGCCAGGTCAGAATAACGGCTTTTTAACTTTTTTTGGCATCTTGAGTTTAAATTAAGTTCACGAGAGGCCTTCGTCAGACCTCCCACGGAGAATCCTCAAGCCGCCTTGGAAGACTGCGTCACTCTTTCGCAGTGCAAAATGGGACTTGTGTCGACTTGTCTGTGTCGTCGCCGCCATCCACAGCCTCGAGGAGCATCAATACTATATGTGTGTTTGTGCCGTTCGTCTATTCGGTCATTTTTATGCGTGAAGCTTGAGTAAACTAACTGTCTGTTGGTCCACATCAGTTTCGTATCTTGCTTTGTAGCTACTAACGAGTGTAGTTCTCAGGGCTCAGACGGCCCATCGATCCTCTGCCGCACTGCCCTGCTGCACTGGAGCACCCTCGCCACCCCCAAGTGCAACATGACCCTAAAAAGGCGGGAGTCCGGCACTGCAACCAGGAAAGGCGTGGCTGCGCTGCACTCGCGACATGAGTTCTACAACGACACCTGGCGCAGACGACTGGCACTCAAGCTCCGGAAGCCCGGCCCTTGCAAGAAAAGCCGCTTCACGATTGGAGCAGCAGCTGCGCTCATTTTGCCTTTAGTCTTCCTCGGGGCGGTCGGGATTGAGTGGTTCTATGGTCCTGCAGCCGACAGCCCGGAAGAATCGCCGGTAGACCCCGAAGCAGACCGTCAAGTGCTGAGCGACTTCATGGAGCCTTGGGCATCGGGGCTTGGACGAATTGCTGCAACGATCTCCCATCCCTGCGCACTACAAGAGGAGAGGGCCCAAGAGTGTGAAAACACCATGGCGACGATTGCGCAAGAAATGGAGGACAGTGTAGTTTTAACAGCTACAGGGAGCTTCTAATATAGATCCTCAAAAAATAACTTCTCGATTTCAGGGACCTCTGCAAGTAATATAGGGGCCATATAATAACTACCTACACTATTTTGGGGAATCCTTAATGTAACTATAGTAGAGTATACCCCGAAACCCAATTGAAATTATAGAGGCCCCTAACTTAAGGGACTCCTAGTTCGAAGAAATGGAGGACATCCTGGCAGCAGTGGATCGCCCGCAGCAGAGCGAGGATCTCGTGAACCACTCAAATGATGCCTCGAGGTTCTGAATTCAGTAGGCCTCTTTTTGCCACTCTAGGTTGGGCCATGGAACCAGTCGTTTGGGTAAAGAGTAGACACATGCAGTTGCCAAAAGCCGTTCTACGACTGTTTCGGCCCTTGTGGCAAGAACTGTACAGCCCAGCCTGTTCCCCCTAGCAATTACTAGCGTACCCCAGCTGTTGCCGCCTAGACACAGAGAGCGACCTGGTATTGCGATCAAAAGAAAAGGTTGTGTCATTAATTTACTTATCGCCCGTGAAGGCAGTTAAAGTTCACGTTGCAGCCAGGAATCCGGAACAGGATGCTTGGCTTGTCCATTCTGGACTAGCCTGTCTCTTCCATTAACTGCCCTAAACCCTAACCACTAAATCCTAAACCCTCAATGTTTTCGTCGGCTTGCCAGGTGACCTTCAGCCGCATGCGCGCTCAACGGGCATCTTGGCGGCCGGGCGAGCTGTTTTCAAGTTCGGGTCGGAGGCGATACTGTGCGGCTTTGGGCGTGGAGGGGCCAGAGGGTGCGATGCTTGTTCTTGTTTTTGTTTTGTGCGTGTGTGGGTATGGGGTACTTTAGATCGCGTAGTTCGGTTCAGAAGTCCGGCACACAGGATGTGTTGCATCAGGTAGAATCATGTGGGTCACGGGTGCAAGAGTTCAAGCTGTGCCCTCCAGCAGCAGAAACCACAACAGTGAGGGTCTGCGGGTGATATCGGAACTACCCTGCCGCGGATACCGTATATCTGAAACTACCACACCCTACTTTTTTTTGGACCTTAACCCTAATTTGAAATGTAATGAAATGGACCCTACATGACGCTACAAAAGTAGGTTTTGGTAGTTCGAGGTATAGTTACATGGCAAAGCAGGATCTCATCCAAGCAGCTGGAAGAATCCGGCAGAGCACGAAAGAAAGAAGCGATTCTTGTCGTTCTACACAAGGGCACTGCGGTGCCGGAATGCCTGTTTCCGTGTATAGTGATGACATAGGACGGGATACGTCAAAACTCTTAGACACTGCTTCAGAACTGCTCTATAGTGTCAGTGTCTTTGTCAGCCCGTGCCTAGGACATGACCATCCCACCGTTCGACAAGATGTGGGCACAGGTGCGCAGCATCTCATGATGAGATTAGCCTGCATTCCTGCTCGGAAGTGGGTATCGTAGCAGTCTAGAAGCCGACCATGCTCCACGGAACGACTGCAAAGCTGATGTTCTGAAGTTGTGTTCTTTATACTAACTAATTCACGTTGTCACATAGTCCAGGCCAAGGTTCCAAGGCCTGGCTTCAGCTTGCAATTGATTCAGCGCTCAGAGAAGTGGGGCGTGGCATAAGTTAAGTATAGGTATGTTTTTGTACATCCGTCTTGTCTTGATATCTGCTAGACTTTGTGGCGACCTTTTGCAGGGACAGAGTGATGACTCGGTTGTTTCAATCACAGAAAGAGGCACCATGCTTCGAAGGTTCAGCATCCTGTGGCAGCGACTTTTCACGACAATTGTTCGCATGTTCATTAACCTTGTGCCCAATACACTGTGTTAACCCAGTTGCATCGAGATGTGGATTTCTGGGACTGCACATGTGGTTGCCCATGCAGGATGATGTTATTTGCCATCCACTGATCCTCGCTCTTCTCGTCGGAGCCTCATTGGCTCGGAAATCGAGATGAGGTTTTCGGATGCCCTCGGCGTCTACCTAGCAAGCCAGGCACTTGTAATATACAATGCCTCAGGTGACACTGAAGTCATAGAGAGAAGCCGAGAACTCCAACATAATCTGGTGGCACGGCATGCTCAGCAATTAGTCATTGCTAGAGGTACGTTATTAGACCTTGGTGTCTCCTCTCTCGGGTTCCGCGCTCGTCGACTGTGTCTGGGGGGGGGGATAAATCTTTCCAAACGAAGCATTCCCTTGCAAGAATGTAGCGAAAGACAGGGGGTGCTTCGGTTGCCAGGCCCGCTACCTGCGGAACAGCACGAACATGAGCGAGGAGAAGGTCTGTCTCTGGAATGAAACAAGACTTGCTGTTCGGTTGTTTTGTTCGAGGAGCTTCACGGAAGATATGAATCCAGGTAAATGGGATGTAGCTTAATTTGCGTGTATAGATTCTATTTACACCGTGCTGCCTGATGGTCAACGACGACACAGTCTGTCCCTCGCAGGTGTTTCAGCTCCAGAGCCATATTGCTCACACTTGGGCCTTGGAGGGAGATGGGAGATGTGCACCTGTGTCCGGCGCGATCGAACAGCACGGCTTATTGCACGAGGCTTCCCTGAAGTTTGGCGACTCGTCGTGCGCTGCACCCCTCTCAAAGGAAGCTTTCAGCACCTCTGCCACTCCACAGATGTTCGAGACCGGCACAGTTCCTTGTTGGCAGAATCTAACGAACCGCTTCAGGAGGTATGCAGGAAGAACAGAGAGTTGCGCGACGTGCTGAGGACACTACCTTGGCCTAGCGTAAGATCCTTCGAGGCTCATGGAAACATTTATGACCTGCCGCAAAAAAAAACGCAGAACCGAGTCTTACATTGCCGACGACCACAAGATTGAGATACTTGGCAGGTTTCTTTGATGGTGATGGATGCGTCACGCCAAACAACGGCTTTTCTGGTTGTAGACTGACGATAAGTCAGACTACCAACCAGGCAGCAGTCCTGCTTTTGTTTCGTGATGCCTTTGGTGGCAGCATCACTATAGATCGCCATGGCATCGGCTTGCATCAGCCCGTGTTGAGATGGACAGTGTCTGGCTCCAATGCTGCTCGTGCTGCTCGTTTGTTAGTGCCGTTCAGCATTACCAAGAACAAGCAGCTGCTGCTTGCAGCTGCATGGCCACAGGCCAGGCCCGAAAGACATCAGTGGAAGGAGGAGTTGGCGCACCTGAAGCACCACGATTCTGCTGTGCCTGGCCGTTGCAGTCTGGAGTACATTGCTGGGTTCTTTGATGCGGAAGGGCATGTGCGAGCAAGCGGGCAAGCAGTCGTTTCCCTCAAGGTACCGCAAAAGTTTCGTACCGTACTGGCATGTTTGAAGGATTCTTTGGCAATACATCTAAACGTGGGCGCACGGGTCCTAGTATACAGTACTGTCTCTGTTCTTTGCATTACACACACCTCGGAGTGCAAGCAAGTGTTGCAAGCATTATTGCGAGCAGGTTTGTTTTGTAAGGCGGAGCAAGCAAACTTAGCCATTGGCTTGACGCCGCAGAACATTTCCCAGGTTCGTGCCGCACTGGGAACGCTGGTTGGCAAGCAGGGATTTGGCAAGAGACTGGATGAAGACGGATTGCGAAGATCTGCCAAGATCTCATCGGCAAGACGACAAGCGATGAGGCTGAGGAGCCAAGCGGAGCTGAACAAAGAAGAGGCCAAGTTACGGGAAATCGAATGCCTAAAGCATGAGCACAAGCTGCTCAAAGCATGCCGTGAGAACCAGCAGCTGTATGAGTACATGTGCGAGCTTCGAAGATCCCAAGGTGTGGTGTGACATGCAAGCAGCAAACATCCGATGAATTGCACCCGAGGTTGCTGTGCAAGTTTGTGCATCTAGGCCCCTGGTGCTACGTTGCACGAAACTGCCGCATCAATGATCCCACCAGGACTATTAAAGCATCCTGTCGCAATTCCAGACAGTCCGACTCCGCTAGACGAACCCAATGTTTTTGGTTACGCCCACAGAACAACTTGGGCTTTAGGGTACTGCAGCTTTGTGGTTTCCTGGGTACGGGGTTTAATGACATGCAAACAAGACCCAACGAACAGCCTGAACCTTCCCATGCCTGAATATCCACAGCAACAAGAAGCGAGTCCAAACCCGAAAGCTCTCCAGACCTTCAGCGCGTCCCAGCCCCTCCTGAAACTCCCAGGCTTTATCCCTACGCCCTGTAACCTTGAACATTAAGCCTTATCAAGCCTATATGAGCCAATCATAAACCCTAAACCGTAAAACTCATCAATCCTGGACCCTGATCTCAAGCTCCCCTCCTAGAAATTCGCGGAGGCCTCGGAGATGACCTTCGCTCATTGGCTCGGGGCCGGTGGAGATATCGAGGCTCGGTCGCTCCGAGATCTTTGAACTACCAGAAGAGCGTTCAAAAGGGTCCATGTTTAGGCATGGGCAAGAGGGTGATCGAGGGTGTTCGAGGGTTTAGGGGTACGTTTTTGATTTCTTGTTTTTAGGGCGTTCTGGTTTTAGTGACTATGTCTTGAGTGTAGGCGTAGGGCTGATTGGCTACAACATGGGCTGAAACTCCAAGTATGAATGCATGATGCCAGGAGTTCACGTCCGGACAGTCCAGCGCAGGATTTCCGGAGCGCCAAGCTCAGCAGGCTGTGGGAAAGACAGTTGAAAACATGCAACTTGAGCCCTGAAGCCCGGGACGTGAAGCACAGCCTCAACAAAGCGAGGCCGAAAACACATGTGGCTGTAACACCCTAAACCTGAAAGGCCCTCACTCCTTACCTCACTGCCACCAGCAGGATCCCACACTCCAAACCCTTGCAGTGCTCCTCGTGCCCTCGACCCCAATTCCAAGAAGCCCTTTGCCACTAAACCCTTAACCCCCAAAACCTACAACCCTGAGCCTCGTAAACGCTAAACTTCGGGCCCAGGCTTGACCTCTTGGTCGTGGTGGACACCCCCTCTGTTGCATCCTCGGGACCTGAAGTTCAAAGCTTGCGGGAGCGCAGATTAAATTCTGGGGGTGTTTAGGCTGGATGCTCGGTTCAATTGTGAGTTTTCGAGCTGGCATATCCCAGTCTCCAAACTGAGTGCCCGTTTAATTACAAACCTTTAGTGCCCATGGGCTGTTGGGTCCTTGTGAGCGGGCTTGTTGAAACTAATGCTTCCTTGTTTTACAAGCCTCCTTGCAACAGATTTTCGTCACTTGTTCAGGCTATTCAGCAGCTAAGCATCTAAAGCTGATGGTTCGAGCTGCTTGTAACGGCCTGTCGCTTCAAATCAAACTTGTTGCCATTTGCACACATAACGGGACCTGCAATGAACTTGGCCACAAAAATCATCGTGGCTTCCGGTTGCAACGTGCCTCGGGAGAGTTGAAGGTTCGGGACTGAAGATGAATTTAGGGTTTGTGAAGCTTCGGGCTAGGCTCGATCCGTCGCGTATGGCCAAAGCTTTGAGCTCTGGAGCACCTCTTCAAGGCAACGGATCTTGCACCGCGAGTGAGAGCAGCCGAAAGTTTCCCAAAATGGTTTCGGACACCAGGACTACAACCAACTGCACATACATTTGGGCTGCTCAAGAGCCTGTCCTCGAGAGATCACCGGCTGTCTACACATGTACATTCTGGGTAGCAGGTCTTTTGTGCGGAAATCATACCATCAGTGCACCGGAGTCACTATATTTTTCACAGCAGAATAGCCTGGTCCTAACATGCACAACTCCTGATCTTCTCACCTCAAGATTCCTAAATCTCAGAACGAATACAATGTCTGTCTCTTAAGACCTGGTCAGTCATAACGTTTGGTATACTCCAAATCCTCAACCCTGGCTGGCCTCTCTAAGGGAGCTCCGGCACAGACACAGCACAGGCGGGGTTTCAAGCCACCTGTAGGGCCTTTGGGTTCAGGGTAAGATTTCGGGGCAACTATGTGTGTTTGAGGCGCGTTGTCCTGGGGCGCATAAGACGTTGGGCACGGTCTGCCCCAGGGCTTTTGGAAACTCTGTTTATGGAACAGTAGGGACTGGTGCAACGCTGGACTCTCCCTGGTTTCCCTGGTTTCATGACTGGCAAGTTTTTTCTGAGGTCCGCAGGGGATTCTGATCGATCTAGCGGCCTCGCGCATTTAATTTCGACGCCGCCATATTTCCGGAACCGTCTTAGGATGGTTCCATGTCTCACCATGCACAATGATACGATGCAGGGAGGGATGCTGTAATCTGACAGATCTGACCGCAGAAGTGCGAAGCCCGAATCCACAACCCAGTTTTCTTAAGACCTTCCAAACTGAAACCCGTAGCCACCCAACCACAAGTCTTGAAGCAGTGAAAAGCTGCAGACTACACCCCGTCCGAAACTTTTGAGTATACCGTTTCTTCTGTTCGTGTCAGGGACACGATCCTCCCCGGCCCATGCGCGTCGTTGGGTGTGTGCAGCCCTTGGCTGCTGCTCTCGTCTTGGGAATTTGAGGGGCACAGGGCCGGAGCTTAGTTGGTGCTAGGGTCGCTACAAGCAATTTAGAAGAGCTGGCTTTCCTTGAGACGCACATTTTTGTTCATCGCTGCTGTATTGAAGCCAGGCACCCTCACCGAGACTGTGAACCATCATCCCAGAAAGCCCTACCCTGTCAGGGAGTCAGAAAACTCACAAAAATCATAATAAGGAGGCCGGGTTGTGGGCCACAGGTAAACCCTGAAATCTAGCCGAAGCTCCGCCGAGGCACATTCCTCTCACTCCAATGCAGGCTCCATGGAGGGTGTGGGTGTTTGGAGCTTTCGGATCGGATTTGGGATGCTTCGAGAGATGCCTGTAACCAAAGCAAGCATGTCTTGCAGGCATTATTTCTTGCAAGAATTCGAGGCTATGGTGACGAAGATGACGATCATAATGATGACGATCCCAGCTCGTGCCGTTGCCCATTTTATGAATGCCATGCCGGACCATACCGTATGTAATTTCGGATGGGTCTTTGAGCTGATGGACCGTCTGGCTGAAGATGCGAGCACCTCAGCCTAGGCCTAGACTGGAACCGCACAGCCGAGTCCTGTGGTTACAGCCCTCTGACCAGGCGGAGCCTCTGAACGGAGCGATCGGATTCTTCCCAGGTGCACTGCATGCATGTGTTACCGAGCTTGGAGCAGCGAGGTAAGCCTCAACATTGTCCATACTTCTCGGTTTTAGTTTAGTGCGTGGTCTCTTTAGAGTCTTTAGAGTGCTCGGTGTCTGAAGGGCTCGCATTCAGGTTGAGCGGAATAACAGTAGTGACAAGCTTATGTACCACAAACACATGAGAAATGCAAGTCTATTCGGGCTATACATCGTGTTTCTCAGCAATTCTGGCGCATGTATGTACAGGGTTTTGTCTGGGGGGGGGGGGGGGGGGNNGGGGGGACGATGTCATAAACCTAAACTGTATCTGACCCACTGAAGACTTCGGTTTTAACGTTAAGTTGTCTTGGCGGTTCATCAGCGCATACATGCGGTGGCAGAAGCCTGTTGCGAGGCAGCAGCTTTATCTCACTTGTATCACTGTTTGCGCCTGCATCTTGAACTCTGAGCTCTGAACTCTCAACTCTGAAATCCTAGCTTCATCCGCTCTCCTTTTAAAATTACGCACCCAACTTCCTAATCCTTGAACCCGGTGAACCGCATAGGCCCGAAGCTCTGAAATCTGTAGACCCAATAAATACATATACTTCCTAAAATCCAGACCCCAAGCATCCTAATCTCTTGATTCCAAGCTCTAAGCACCATTCGACTTTTTGGCTGTTTTGACCTCTGATGTGTGGAGGTTCGCACGTCCTCAAAGGCGAGCTCGCCGGGGAGAAGTCCCAGGCCCCCAAGCTTTGGGGTTTAGGGGCTATCTGGGATTTAGGGCTCAAGGCTGAGGAGCTTCAGAGTTTAGGATTTTGGCTTAATTGCAGTAACATTCCTACTATTTCCTTAGTCACCCGGAGAGCTTTGCGGAATGTTGGGCTTGTGGATTGTGCCCCTATCCCGTGAACGAGATCGAGCCTGGCTTTGTCGCCCAACTAGGTAGTGCATGCGTGTGTTTGTGTGTGGGTGGATGGGTACATCCATACTACATATGTATGTATATATATATATATGTACTTATGTATCGACAGATTGCATCCTAATACAGGTATTGGGGTCTGAGGGACACGATTGAGTGGCTTTAGGAAAGGTAGCTGCCTCGGATATGGGAGTACTTGTATTGATGAGCCTTATACAACGAATGCCATGGCGCCACTCGAACCTCAAACACTGAGTTTGGCCAGGACGGCGCTCCTGCAGGAAAAGTAATTACAGGGAAAAGTGGTGTGTAGCAGATGCAAACTTTTGGCGGTGGTCACACGGGTATATACAGGCCGCGCAAGCAGGATAGCTTCCTCCAGATAGTGGCCTTCCTCGTAAAGAAAGCCGAGCGTTCCAGCCTAAATATAGCAGCATAGACTGGAAGTCCTGAAGCCTGTAAGCAGACTGCAAACCCAATTCCTGCTTGTTGGAGTTCAGGGTTTCGTAGATTAAACAATCAAATCTTCAAGCGGTGGATGCCGTCCTCTTGCCCAGGAGCTGGTGGGTGCTGCTGCAACCTCAGCATGGCAGTGTGTGAGACTGGATTGACAAGCAGTTCAACCTGCGAAATTCAGTAAGTAAACCCTTGCAGACCTACATGACTCGGCACATGGGGTTGCTACAGGGCCAGCACCTTCCATGCAGGGCCGTCGTAAAGATGGAGGGTTCAGGGTTTGGCGGTCGATGGTCTTTTTGGCATGCAACCCAAGCCGTGCAGCGCATTTCGACACTGAGTCCGCGCCTGGCTCGGTGATCCTCTACGACTCCTTCACGGAACATCGCGGGCCGCGCACCTGACGCTAGAAGGGCTGTGTCATGCTTACTGTTCTAAATCGGCTTCAGTTGTATTTTGACAACAAATTTGACTGCTAGTTGCTAATGTGAACAGGATCCATAGCAGAGAACATGCCACCAGCCACCAGGGCTTTGGGCTTCAATTTCCTGCAAGGTCTTTGAGTTTGGGCTTCCCTGGCTGCTATTGTGAGCTCATGTAAAGTCAAGCTAGTTAACAGAGAATATGCCTGGAAACATTCCTTAGTTGGCTTGGGGCTACAATTCCCTAGGAGGTCTTTGAGTTTCGGTTCCCCAGAAGTCTCGTTGCTAAAGTCGCCGTCTACAGTAACTTCCCCACCACTCCTTCCAACTATCCCAGACCCTGCCCTAAACCCTAAACCCTAAACCCTAAATGCATGCTGTAGGCCCCGCTAGGCCTGCTAGGCCAGTCGAGGCCCTCAAGGTCTCAACTCCTGGGTTCTTGGTAAGGGGTTTAGGGTTTAGGGTTTAGGGTTTAGGGAAGGATCTTAATCTAAGGTCCCATACGGGTAGTTCCCCAAATTAGGGTCCGTTTTAGGGTGCTTGGTATAAGGGTGCCTTACTAACAAAAAAGGCCCCTATTTAGAGAATTACCCCTATACCATAGTGGGGAAACCCATTTATTTGCTATAGATTCCCATTACATGGTAACTTGAACTATAAGTTCTTTCGCGAGAACCCAGACTTCAAGCCCGAAATATGTCCAAGCACCGATCATGTCAGAGCCTTCAGCCCTCAGAGCCCTACAGCCTTACCAACATCCCGCCTGGAAGCCCAAAAAACGCTGAACAAACGCAAATTTGACCGACACCCAAGGCGCTGAACAACCTCGAATCCTCAGGCCGAACCATATAAGCCTGTTAAAGATTCATGCTGCTCCAACTCCGCAATCACAGTCTCTGCATCTCGAACGCAGCCTCTTGGCTCCTCTAGACAAGCCCAACTTTTTTGTGGGTCGGGGGTCAGGGCTTGGCATTCACGATGTATGAGTGTACATTGTAGGCCTTGCGGTAGCCAAGGTTGTTGAGTAGTTCTCAGGGCCCGCGAGGCGAGAATAACCCAAAACCCGAGACGGTGCAACCCCAACGGTATATAATATAGAGTTTAGGGTTTAGGGTAAGCTTCCTATTGCGAAAAGATTTTGCTCTCGAGGCAGCACCTAAAGCACAAATCCGGAACTCCGGAAGCTTTAAGAGGAATTGCAAGGGTTCAGGGTTTAGGGTTTTTGGGATTCCGGTCATCAGGTTGTGTTAATAGTGCCGCCGGCTTACCAGCAGCCATGGCCGCTGCCAAGCTGGACTGGCTTCTTCCGCCCCTCCTGTGCGGGTGCCATGGCTGCAAGGGGCTATACCCTAGTCTCCTAGACAATGCACTCTCAACTGTTTGAGTTAATCGGATTTATGTTGTTTGTTTGTCGAGGGAAGGTGGGTAATGTTGGAACTCAGAAGTTTAGTTTAATTGCGAATGATACCCTGGCTCATGGGTGTAGTTGGGTTCCTTTGTTTTGTTGGCGCGGAGCTTGCGCCGTTGGAGGTAGCCTCAAGCGATTCAGCTGCACGCGGCACCCTTTGAATTAAATGCATCGCCACACCTTGAAGGCTTGCGATGATTCTGGCGGCGGGTGATGCTTGGAATGCAAGGGCAGTATTGCATCACAGGGGGATGAATAGGGCTTGGGGTTTTGGTGGCTTTTTCGTGCTTAGGCTTACCGGTTCGGGGTTTTGGGATTCGTGAGTGGCATTGGCATCTCGTCAAATCGTAGCTAGGTATTGAAGCAAACGGACGTAACCAGGTATTGAAGCAAACGGAAGAGGGTCCGCACGCGGCTGTCTCTGGACAGTTCATGGGAACCCGAAATGAGGATCATAAAGCGGGTGGGGGTTCTTTTTGGGTATTTTTTTTGGTTTTTTTTGGGTATTTTTTTCGGTTTTCGGCTCAGTGGCTACTTGAGTCCATAAGACGGTCAGTCAGTCATTCAGTCAGTCAGTCCGTCAGTCAGTCAGTCAGTCAGTCAGTCAATCAGACTCTCATTTGGTCGTCCAAAGAAGGGTGGTCAG